GTTGCCATTTGCAGACTATCCCCCAGACAATGATCATTAATGATCTAGTTTGACAGTTATTGCTCCAGCACAAGGCTGGCTAAAAGATTTCAGTCATTTATGACTGAATGGGAGGTTGTCCAGGCAAGGATGTTGAATATTTTCAGGCCAAATCTGAGCTCACCTGGGAAGAGCACCAACTAGTGATGTCTGCCATAAATTCAAGTGGGAGGGGTGGGAGGGGACACAGGTGGCGAGGATTATGGACTCTAGCTACTCAGGGCTTCAGCTGGAGGTGGGGACTGGAGGTTCCCGACTGTTTATCCCCTTCCCTGTAAGAGGATTTTATAGCTCTGCCCAGAGCTCTGTGACCTGCAGTGCCTTTCTTTCGTTCTTTTTTTTTTTAAACTGGAAAGATATTTTAATAAGTCAGTGAAGTTTGCTCTCACTGGTAGGAATCACTGATGTTGCTTTTCCTGTTTTTTTTTTTAAACTTTCATTTAATAAATATAAATTTCGAAAGGACAACTTTTGGATTATAGCAGTTTTTTCCCCCAAACCTCCCTCTCACCTGCAATCATCCCATCTCCTGCTCCCTCTCCCATCACATTCTTCATTAAGATTCATTTTTAATTATCTTTATATATAGTAGATCAACTTAGTATATACTAAGTAAAGATTTCAACAGTTTGCACCCACACAGATACACAAAGCATAAAGGTACTGTTTGAATACTAGTTTACCGTTCATTCACATAGTACAACACATTAAGGACAGAGATCCTACATGGGGAGTAAGTGCACAGTGACTCCAGTTGTTGATTTAACATTTGACACTCTTCTTTATGACGTCAGTAATCACCCGAGGCTCTTGTCATGAGCTGCCAAGGCTATGGAAGCCTCTTGAGTTCACAAACTCCGATCTTATTTAGACAAGGCCATAATCAAAGTGAAAGTTCTCTCCTCCCTTCAGAGAAAGGCACCTCCTTCTTTGATGGCCTGTTCTTTCTGCTGGGATCTCACTCACAAAGATCTTTCATTTAGGGTTTTTTTTTTTTCCCCCCACAGTGTGTTGGCTTTCCGTGTCTGAGAAACTTTCATGGGCTTTTTAGCCAGATCTGAATGCCTTAAGGGCTGATTCTGAGGCCAGAGTGCTGTTTAGGGCATCTGCCATTCTACAAGTTCCGCAGTGCCTTTCAACACATGGAGATTCATCCATATCCTACAGTCATGTTGGGCCTTGGAGTCTGTGTTGACCTAGAGGATGTGGCAAAGGACATTTCTAAGCCTAAGTTTTACAAATGGTTATGTTTCAGTTCTGCCTTTTGCTTTTGTCCATCTGCCATGAGAACAACTTGTCCTTCAGAGACCTGAAAGTAAGGCCCCCAGGACAGATCCACCTCAGCTGAAACACCCATGAAAAACAAACGTTTGCTCTTACAAGGAAGCCCCTGAGGTATTGGGGTTAGTACTATAACCAAGATGACCAAGATGATCAGCGTTGGTCAATTTGAAATCAATCGGTTGGAATCATTCCAGCAAATCCTGGAAATAAAAGAAGTCCTAAACTGTCATTTTCCCTTAATATTAGTTTACATCTTACTAGATTGGTTTTTGGTAAACTAAGATCTAGATCATGCCATTGTGGAGTTTCAGTCTCTTCCATGTGATTTTAATGTGTGTGGACTCAAAAGAAGCCTCTCAGGGAGTTGTATTGGAGGGGGCCTAAATCATTACTGGAGTCATTATTTTGGTGACCAAGAAATGAACTAAGTGGGGTGTACGTGCTGTAGGGTGGAGCTTCACTCAGACTACTGCTGATGCAAGATTTATGTGCTCCTAAGGCAAAGAGCTTGAACATTAATGCAATTGTTTATTTCATTAGTTCTGTTGCTTTGTGTGTATGCGTGTATTTGAACCTACAGTCAAGAGCATAGAGCCACAAAGAGTGACACCGAAAGTGCCTTTTGTTCAAATTGAATATTCCTTGCACTATTTTAGTTTTGCACAGATTTCCTTTTTAAGATTATAAGTGATGTCCTGTCTTATGTTAAAGGGGGGGCCTTTCTCCTAACTTGACCGTTCTTGGGGGAAGAATATTTACTAACATCGTCCCTTTGGTAAGGATCTGTCTGCCAAGCCTGGTTGGCCAACGTTACAGCTCTCATTTGTGAATAAGCAATTCATAGGTGCTTAGATCCAACTAGTCATAAATATGTCAGCAGACCTTCGCCCAGTATGTCTCCATGTTTTTAAACCGTCCCAGCTTAATTTCCCAGAGGATTACCTTGACCCTGAGTGCTTTGATGGTTTGTAAGCCTCTCCCTCCCTGGAGTTAACGGTGTCCTAATACTCTTGGCATTTATGGTAACAAACTTCAGGTGCAGTCATATTTTGGCTACAGAAACACTTTTTTCCGTGTGCTCCCTGGCTCCTTCACCTCTAAGCTAGCACTTCCTCTTTGGCATCTGAGCTATTGGCTGAAAATAAAGTTCTATAAATTAGGAGAGTATGAGCTTCACCTCCAGCAACTCCCTTGGATCCCTCTTGCTGTCTTCCTCCAGCGCTCTCAGCCTTCTACAGGCAGTGGCGAGCAAAGCCTGAGCATGGAGTTGCACACGGCCAGCCAAGGGCTGATGGGCTGCAGCTGGCAGCGGCCAACAGCCGAACAAGACACAGGTGACTGCATCAGCCAGCTGGGTCAGGAGGGCGGGGCGGGAGCGCAGTCTCAGAGCAGTTTCCTGCCTGATGCTTACTAGGAGCTGGGTCTTTTGCTCCTCCAAGAAAGACCAGCCTATTCTTGATCTTAACCTTGCTAAGCTGCAACACAGAACGGAAGTTCTTTCAGTTAGCTCAGTCACCAGTACAAGAGTCACAATAGGTGCACTAAGAGAACAAGGTTTCTTGAACTTGTCCATGTGAAGGGAAAAGCTTCTGGCCCCCAACCAGGAATGTGGCTCTCGGGTGAACCAGATGAGGAATGTGTTCCTAGTGAAGGCTAGGGGCCGTCAGTTTTCCATCCAAGTGAACGGTCATAAAATACAACCAGTTGTCAAAGGGCTAACACAAAGTTTTTAGCGTTGAATTTTGATTAAGCCAATCTTAACTTTCTCTAAGGGGAACAAAGTGGCAAAATGTTTAAAATGCTGATGAGGAAACTTTAAAAAGTTTGTGGAAGAGGAGTGAGATAAAATTGTTTTTAAAATTTTATTTATATTTTTGAGAGGGAAATAGAGAAGGGGAGAGAGCAGTGTTCCCAGCTCCCATCTGCTGGTTCACTCCCCAAATGCGCACAATGTCTAGCTGCGGCTGGGCTGGGACAAATTTCAGAGGGGAAATCCAATCAGGTCAGCCACCTGGGTGGCGGGAGCCCAAGTACTTGAGCCAAGGGTGCGGCCTCCCAGGGTCTGCATGAGCAGGAAGCTGGAGCAAGGAATAGAAGTCAGGTATTCTGATGTGAGATGTGCTCACCTTAACCACCAGGCTATGCGCCTGTTCTGAAAATTACTTTGGTGCGAAAATATGTGAATTCCACGCATAGCTTTTTCATAATATGTATTTTCTACAAACTTTTTGAAGACCTCTAATTGACATGGATTTCAAATTTCAAAATAACCTCTTTTAAGGGGCCCTCAAAACATTTATGAAAACTGTGTATCATGAAAAAACTGCAAGGGTTTGAAATTCTGCACCAAGATATACTTACCCTTGAATTCTATTTTTCCATACACTTTTCCAATTGCCCTCATAGATACTACACTACTGAGACTGTAATCACCGCCTGCCTCCACCCCAATCCATGCCTTTAAATTGGGCTTGTTCCATGTTTATGAATCTTAGGCATATCATAATCACCTGAGAGCTTGTGAAAACAAGAATTGTTGGGTCCCAGCCCCAGAATTTGTGATTGAATATTTGGAAATGGGGTGATACTTTGCATTTCTCCCAAGTTCTGGGTGCTGCTGGTGCTTTGCTTTGGCAACCACCCTCCGAGAACCAGTGGGATAGGGGCTCATCTTCGGAGGTGCGTGGATAGGAGGGCTCCTCTTGATTCAGTATTTAGCGGATTGCAGTAGGCACTGCAGGAGGGTGACGCAGGGAGCCTGCAGATGTTGGTGATTAGGGAATTAAGGAAGTCAAGGGGATCTCAGAGTTGAAGGGATTGCGGGTGGCGGGAGGGGCAACCGCCTGGAGAGACATGAGAGGGAAATGGGTGTGAAGGGCAGATAGAAGGGGGGATTCAAGTGAGACACAAACCCAACCTGACGCGGATCTCACTGCCATGGGAAGGGATTGCTTTATTGAGTTTGATCGCTGAAGTGGTGACAAGAGCCGTACCTAAAACAGATGGATCAGGCCCTGAAGGTTTCATTGTACTCTCTTCTGTACTAAACAGCAGAAATGGACAAGTTCTTTGAACTTTCATAATGACACTCATTTTCCTTGACAGTGTGTATTAATCGCCAGATGGGGAACTTTTTCTTTGGGGCAAATAAGGTCATAAAGATAAGCTGTGACAATTACATGGCCACGTTTCTTTTATTTTATCAATATGGTTGGCATCTAAGTTGGACATGATAAGATGTATGCAGCCTTTTCTTCTTTAGAGACCTAAGACTGGAATTGTGATGTCTAAATATGTATGGGAACATCAAGGCAGAAAAGAAGGAAACTCTACTCTGAAAATGCACGTTTTACATCTCCTTGGTTGTGATAATTCAATATATTATTTTGATTTTAAAAATTCAAAGCTTTCATATCTAGGTGTTGAATGGTACTGGGTTATGAAATCACTGGGGTTGCCTCTCCACCTGTGGTTGCCAGCAAAACAAATGTCCAAGTCAATTTCAAAAGCCTACTTGGAGAAAATAATTCCACAGAAGTGACGGCAAGTAGGAATTGTGATTTCTCTTTCTAGGAAATGTCATCATTAGGAGAACCAAGTTTAAAATTCGCACATCTCTCTAGGATAGCTGTATTCAGGAAAGATTGTATAGTAAACATTTTTAATAAACAGCAGCATACAATAATCAGTGTTTAATATCATCTCTGGTGTGTGAAGTACAAATGCAATATATCCTCAGTATAAGATAGCCTTTTTGTCATTACAATTCCATGCTTGTCTATTTGAAATGCCCACCATAATAACAAATCAAACATTAAGTAATACAGCGATTAAATGCATGCAGTGAAAATAGGAAAGATATGGTAGAGTGAGATATCTGAATGTTGCTATTATATATTTGAAGAAAATCTATTTTGAGTTAAAAACAAAGAAAACAGGGAAACAGGCCAGATATAAAAATGCAGAGATATATTTTCACTTCTGTGATACAAACCATAAACATAGTTTTGTGCAAAGAAAAAAATCTGAAAATAAAGTCATCTTACAAAACATTGTCAGCAAAGCAAAAGATATTTTTCAGGTTGTGAAAAAATACTATTTTAATACAAAAGGAACTGTGTCGTGTAGTATCACAGTGCTATTATAAAACACATTATTACAAGTGGTTTCGAAATTTAGTTTCCTCACTCTAATGATTTCCATTATTATAAAATGTTTAAAATAAATGCTATATAGTTCTTTATAAAAAACTAACTTGGATTTATTTCTTAACCGTAATAATGTTTTTCCAGCGTGAGTATTTTACTGGCTCATGGAATGCTAATTTCCCTTTAAGGGACTCCTGGAAAAACTCAGATTCACTGAAATTGTGTTTATTTAAAATAATAAATATTCTTGGAAAACAATTGATTGTCATATGATATACAAAATTGTGGTTTGAAGCTTCAACATTAAACAGTTGCATAGCAACAAAAGGATACAAATATTCTCCTCTACCTAAAGTTAAGAAATGTCACTTCTGAGTCAGCTTATTTAGGCCACAAAAGTATGTCTTAATTTATCTCCCAGTAAGTCTGGATGCACCCAATTCCTTGAGTTCACAGTACCTATAAGTTCATGTTTGTTGTCTGAAGATTCAGATTTCTACAACACATTTTGGTAAACATATTTCCTTGATTTCTCATGCTAGTTTTATTTTTTAAAAATAGAAACATCAACGTGTTTCTAATTCTCTTACATTCTCCTCATCAAATATCATTTTCAAGAATTACTTTACATCCTGAAAGTCTCTTTGTGAGACTTTTATAGCTTTAAAATAAAAACAAGGCTTTGAGACATTGTTCTTAGAATAAAGGAGTTATTTTTTCAACCAGAGACAAATCAAATATAAAATTCCTTTCTAAATAGAACTTGAAACCCACAAGAATTCTAAACTTGGCAAAAGATAGTTGGCAGGTAAATGCCAGAAGATGCACATTTGATACCTCCTTCTAATGCAGGCAAACATGATCTGGTTGCTTCTATTTTACCAGCTGAAGGAATTCAGTTCTTGGTAACCTTTGAAATGAGAACTCAGTACATTTTTAAAAAGAAATACTGTAAAGTTTTGCAAAGTAGAATTCATTATCTTTGGATGCCAACTAACCTTATGAATAAAGTGTTACATTTATTGGGGCTGGAATAAAATCTGAATTATTTCCAAGACAGAAAAAAACAAGTGAGAGAGACTTGGAATTTAGTAGCTATTGGTATCATCATAGGGATTTCTACTTGCTTGTGTCCCTTGATGATAATAAGCATCAAGCATCAACACCTTGGACAACTTGTAAACCCAGGGGTTGCCAGGGTGAGGGTGTGCTTGTGCGCAGCCACACCTCTGGTTTTCAATGTTACTGGTCCAGGGAAGCTCCTGTGGAGGCTGTCCCTATGGGGAAACTTTGTACTGCTCCCATGAGTGCTCCTGGAGGGTGAGGTGCCATTTTCCTGTGCTTCCGTGGGTGCCTCATCCCTAATGCAGCGAAGTGAACTGGCAATCACCAATCCCAGCATCCACATCTAGCCTTCTCAGGGTCTAATGCCCTGTGTTACTTCAAAGACTTGTGTAAACACTCTGTGAACAGGGAAAATGTGGACCGGGCTGTCATGATCAGAGGAGGAAGTTCACAAAGAGGCACACCCTGCACCTTCCTGAAGAAGCTCCCCTAGGTAAGGCTCCAGGGGGCGCTAGACTTGTCTATGGCTCATTTCCATTTGGCCTAAAGTTGCCTCATTGATTCTGAACGTTGCTTCCATTACAAACATGCATAGAGTCTACAATGAAACAATACAATTCCTGAACATCTGTCCTGAAGAAAAGACAGCAGGTAGACAAATGCTACTGTATATACATTTGGGGGAGAGACCAGTCGTGGCCACTGAAGGCAAATACACCAAGCACCATTTGACTTTCCTTTTTGGTTGGAGATCAAATCACAAGGTTCTTTTCCTCTCCACTGGCTTGCAGTTTTCAGTACCGGAAACTGTAAGTTCCAATCCCAGTGCCTTATCAGGTACCCCGATGGAGTGTACATCCCTCTATGTGGTTGTTGGTGGTGGTTTCTGGCTAGGGGCTGTCCTGCTTCGTATGACACAGTTAAACTTCACAGAAGATACCTGTTGCAATGTCTGCTAAATGAGAACCTTACTTTCATAAAACCATTTGAATATAAATCTTCTCTATGGCCTCCTAGTTTGTCCTGCATACCACATTTACAAAAGTCGTGCATTTTACAGTTCTGCAGAAATCATAGATTCGGTGTGTCCATGAATATTGGAGTCTCCTAGCAAAGATGGTTGCTTGGAGTCTATTTTGTAGGGTTTCTGAGACTTGTTGCCAAAAACGGTGATCCCCATTCCACCGGGATGATTTGGCATTGACATGTGTGGTAGTAAAGGGATATTTGCTTCCTGATTGGATCCTGACGAGGGCAGGCTGGTCACATGACCAGTACTCGTGGACCCACTGGCGCTGCTCGGAGACCGGCTCTTGGGAGGCGGGCAGTGCTGAATCACCCTGGGAGGACCTGGGGGCTGGTAGTGGGCAGCTGGAAACGCTGCATATCCCGGAGGTATCGGGTATCCATTGATGGGGATGAAGCGCTGGTTCTGAGGTATCGGTGGGCCAATGAAACCCGCAATCTGGCCCTGTGGAGCAATCCCCTGGCTTGGGAACATGTAGTTGGGGTACCTGGGGTTACTGAGGTTACTCACTGGGCTGGCGCTGAGGGAGGTGGTCTGCGTGGTGGCATTCCCCCCCGAGGGAGTTGTCGAGCTGGTGTGACTAGAGAGCCCCTCCCAGGAGCGGAGGCGGACGTGAATATCTTTAAATCTCGGTCTCCTGGAAGGAATCTCATTCCAGCACTCCGTCATGAGGCTGTACATCCTGGGCGGGCAGTCCTCGGAGCATGGTAAGAGCTGCCGTTTTCTCACCATCTCGATCACTTCCTGGTTACTGAACCCATAATACGGCTGGAGTCCAAAACTGAAAATCTCCCACAAGACCACCCCAAAGGACCAGATATCGGAATCGGAAGAGAATTTGCCATACATGATGGCTTCCGGGGGCATCCAGCGAATGGGGAGCAAAGATTTACTCTGCACCCTGTAGTAATCAGCAGAGTAGATTTCTCTGGAAAGTCCCAGGTCTGAAATCTTGACATGAAGCTGCTCTCCGATTAAGATGTTGCGAGCTGCCAGGTCCTTGTGCACGAAGAAGTGACTGGACAGGTATTCCATGCCGGCTGCGATCTGAATGGCAATGTGCAGAAAATCGCCATGATCCAGGCTGGATTTCACCGTCCCGTCCTCGTCACTGCTACAGCCAACATCGGAATGTGGGGAGCGCATGATGAGGAACTCATGGAGATCCCCCTGGTTCATGTACTCGAAAAGCATGCACACGGGTTGGTCCTGCGTGACAGCCCCCAGGAGGCACACGATATTGGGGTGGTGCAGTTCGGCCATCAGGGAGGCTTCTTGTTGAAATTCTGCCCATTGCTGGGGGTTGTTAAAGTCTTTCAAGGTCTTGATAGCAACCAGCTGAGCATGGTCCATGCCTGGGAGATAGAGATGCCCCTTATAGATTTTCCCAAAGGCACATTCACCCAATTCTTCCATAAAACGTACAGCAGAGAGAGGCAGCTCTTTAGCCTTGCTCTGTGTGTGAAAGATAGGAAAAGTGTGGGTTAAAACATTTTTTAAGGCAAGATTTCTCAGTCTCTGAAAGCAGGGGGTGGGGCATATAGAAAAAGATTCTATAAATAGACTGAATAAAATATTGCAGGTCAATATGTCTTTAACATTTTTTGGCTGCAACTTAAAGGAGGCGCATAAGCAATTTTCTGTCACTCCCCCATCCCTTGCCCCAACCCTCAGCCCCCCAAATGGTTTCCTGCTGTTGCCTAGAGTCTTGCTACTCTAAGTGTGGTCTGGGGACCAGCAGCATCAGCATGGTCCACAGCTTCCTGCAAATGCAGGCTCTTGGGGCCGCCTTAGACCCACTGAGTCACTACAGGCATTTTGCAGGAACGCAGGCGATGTCTGATGACTGTGAGGGTGCGAGAAGCATGACCGAAGGACACACAGCCCGAATTCTTGCCCGGCACTCCAAGTTCTTCTGATGACCCTAACCCCTCCCCTGGCACCACCCCTGGCTCCTCTGCTCTGTGAGAGCATCGCTTTCGTTAATTAGGTCTCCTCAAAGGTCCACCCCCGAATCATTCTTGCCCAGTGCTTTTGTTCTTCCAATGCTCTCCCATTCTTAAGATATGCATTGTACCACAACAAACGGTTGTCTTTTTGAGCCTGGGAGGGAAGGAGTAGAACATGTTCACCTCTACGTATCAAATCCGCCCTGTCCTAAGGAACCTGTTCCAGGCTGTACATTCCATGACCACACCGCCACTGCTGCACAGCAGTGCTTTGGCTTTGCGGTCTCAGTGCCATCAGGAGAGGCAGTGTGGTGGCTGGTTACACGTACAGCTCCCACAGCCAGACTACCAGAGTTGGAATCCTGCCCTCTCCACTTATTAGCAGTGTGATCCCGAGTTCAATGTTTACCACCCTGTGTCTCAACCCCCTTATCTATAAAATAATTGACAATAGTTGTAGTTACCACATAGGTGATTGTGAACATTTAATACATTAACATTTGCAAAGTACTCAGGACCATGCCTGGTCCATGTTAAGAGCTATGGCACTTTCAAATAAACTATTATTACGTTGATATTGCTGTTCTTTTCATGCTTCTGTTTTGTCCTCTCAATCAGACTTTGGTTTCTTAAAGGGAGACAATGCACTTTATACTCATTGACATCCCTAGGGCTTCCTCAGTGGACTGACCTTAAAGCAGATAGGAAAAGGCATCTAGCTCATCATGAAAATAAGTCTTACATTGTAGCATATGATCTTGGCAATAAACGCCTGTAATGCTACGTGGTTTTACTATTTTTGCAGTTCATGTTAAATTTTGCCTGATATTTAAGCTAATTTGATAGGGGAAAAAAGTCATACCAGCAATATATTTGTACCTAAAATTATGATTTTTCATTTCTATTTTTCAGAAGATTTCTATATTTATTAGAAAGAGTTACAAGGAGAGAGACAGAGGGAGAGAGATCTTCCATCCTCTGATTCATTCTCCAAATGTTTGCAATGTCTGGGGCGAGGCCAGACCTGAAGCCAGGAGCCTGGAACTCCATCCAGGTCTCCCACATGGGTGGCAGGGGCTCAAGTACTTGTGTCATCTGCTGCTGCTTTCCCAAGCACATTAGGAGGGAGCTGGATTGGGAGTGGAACAGCCATGTGGGACTCGAACTGGTGCCTCTATGGGATGCTGGCACTGTAGGCGGAGGCTTAATCCACTGAGCCACAATGCTGGCCCCTAAAATTCTGATTTTTAAAGTAATCTCTTACAATTTAAATCCTTATTATTTCTTTTTTTTTTAGAATAAGACCATTATTCTGAGTATCCAAATTGAAACTGACAACATTGCAAATACATACGAAATTCAGAGCTCTCTACAGTTTAAAACAACAGTTTAGAAAATTAGGTCAAAAATTTCTCTTGTCCAAACACTCTAATTTAGAATTCATGATGATTAGCTCTGTTCTAGACTGATATTTTTCCAGGGCAAAAAGCCAACTAACCTAATTATAAATGTAAATAAACTTACAGCAAAATGTCCACTTAAAGGGATAAAATGGAGTAGGGGCTTTGGGAACATTAATTGTTTGATGCAAAGAATATTTCTCATTATACATTGGTCTCATTTGTTCATCAAAGCAGGTTTTGCAGGGTTCATGTTTGGAAAAGCTTTATAAGAAAGTTACTTGTGTGGAAAGTAAAAGTAATGCATTGCTTTAAACCTCCAGTAATGAAAAAACTATTGATCTAGTCCTATTCATTACAGTACAGTACTTTGTAATAACAAAAGATTAGAATTCATCTCCATGTCCCCTAGACAATGCTGGTTAAATAAGTTATGGTGGAGCTAGTAAATAGACTAGTCTGCACAACTGCCCCCTGCACCCACAGGTTCTGCATCCACGGATTCAATCATGGATTGAGACTATCTGAGGAAAACACTGCATCTGAGCATTTTTCTTGTCCTTATTCCCTAAACAATGCAGTATAGCATTTTTAAATGATTTATTGATTGATTGATTGGAAAGGCAGAGTTACAAAGAGAAAGAGAGAGAGAGAGAGAGAGAACTTCCATCTGCTGGTTCACTTCTCAAATGGCCACAATGGCTGGGGTTGGTCCAGCTTGAAGCCAGAGGCCTAGAACTCCCTCCAGGTCTCCCATCGGGTGGCAGGAACCCACGTACTTGAGCCATCTTTTGCTGCCTTCCCAACCACATTAGCAGGGAGCTGGATCAGAAGTGGAGCCGGGGAACTTGAACTGGTACTCATATGGGATGCTGGCATAGCAGGCAGTGCTTAACCAGGGTGCCGTAGCGCCGGCCCCGAGTATAGCATTTACATTGTGTTAAGGATTATAAGTAACATAGGGACGATTTAAAGTGTACAGGAGGCTGTGGATAGGTTATATGCAAACACTGTGCCACTGTATATAATGGACTTGGATATTGTTGGATCTCGGTATTTGCAACCAATCCCCACAGCTACTGGGGGAGGATTATAGTTGAGAAAAAGAAGATAAAGCTTTCTATGTATTGAGATGGAAAGGGGCACCAAAATCCTCTTGCTTGGATAAAAAACATAAGAGACCAGTTCATGCTATGCTAATGCTAATGCTGCTTTTGTGAAAAAATGGAGGAGAAAAGGACAAATATATTCAGATTTCTTTGCATACACGTAAAGAAGCCATGAAAGGATCCTTGGCTAACAGACAGCAGTGGTTACTGTGGGAAATGGAGGTGGGAACTAGAAATACGCGGAAGAGTGGAGATCTTCTCACTTCCTGCTTTTTTTTTTTTTTTTGATACTTTATAATTTTTGAACCAGATGAATGTTACCAGTCTCTTCGCCCCTCCCCCCCATTAATTAAATATAAGAGTATAAGGTCAGTTTTTCCATCTGAATGAATCCGGAAATTTCTTTTGCAATTACAGGTCCATGCACGGTTTCCCTTTTGGCTTTCTAGGGTCTGGATTCCTCTCAGAGCTACTGGAGTTCCGTTGGGAGAGCAAGGTGTGGGTGATGAGAGCGGGGGCAGGCTGAGCTGACCCTGCTGTTTTCTTCTGCAACACTCTGATGACTTTACTCATGCTAGCAAGGGCAACCCAAGGGGAACTTTTTCCTGCACGGTACGATTGGGCATTTCCATCATAACTTTTCCTAATGATATTAAAGAACCCAATTTATGTGACGGTCCCTTTATTAGCAATAGTAGGTACTTACTTTTTGACCTAAACAGAATCCCTAGGGTTTTGGTGATAGGGAACAAAAAGGGACTGAGTATTAAATTTCTTTTGGGAAAATAGGAATTAGGAAATAAATCCATGGAATGTTAGACTGATATAATGAGCTGGAAACTCAACACCCCCGTGGTTCAACCCCCACCCCCACCACTGGAAACTGAAATAACCCAGTGTGGTATAATTCAAACTAAGCGAGCTTTGGATGCCAACAAATCTGGGTTTGCATCTTGGAGCTGCTGTTTTCTATTAATAATCGCTAATACTTATAGGACACTGACTATGTGCCAGCCACTGGCCTAAATACTTAACAAATATTAACTTATTTAACACAATAACCTTATGGTAGAGACTCTATATATCAAATAATAATTTTTTAAAAAATTGATGCTGGGGCAAGTATTTAACTTAGCATTCGAGATATCTGTGTCCAATATCAGAGGACAAGACACAAACTGGTTCCATACCTGTCTCCACCTCCTGACTCCAGTCTCCTGCTAACACAGGCCCTGGGAGGCAGTGGTAATGGTTCAAGTCACTGGGTTTCTACCACCCATATGGAAGGCCTGGATTGAATTGCTGGCTCCTGGCTTTGGCCACCTCGCTACTAGCCATTGCAGGCATTTGGAGAATGAACCAGAACATAAGAGCTCTCTCTTTCTTCACTCTCTCTGCCTCTCAAATATATAAATAAATGATTTGATCATGTATGTCTAAAAATAGAAATCCACGTGTATGTGGGGTCTTTAAAAAGTTGATAGAAAATATAATAAGAAACTATGCATGAATTTCAAATCATTGCATGCCAAACTAAGCTTATCTTTTATTTTTATTTATCTGAAGCATCTTTTAATTTCAATTTTCCATAACCATTTTGAAATACTCACGCGTAATTTCCCCTGTGTTTAAAAACATTGTGTTTAATTTTCCTCCACAATCTTTCTTTGTTGTTTGATAGTTGGCTGGCATTAAAAAAATTCTTAAACACACACACACACACACCAGAATTTGTTTTGGAGCTCTGGGGGTGGGGAGGAGGTGAGTGGCCTGTAGCCTGCTTATCTGCTTGTGAATGGAGCTGGGGTGGGTGACGGTGGGGCAGTCAGAACTCGGTGGAAGGGTGGATGGAAGCAGAGGGGCCAAAGAGGCAAGAAGGCCAAGCTTCTGGGGAGGGGACAGGAGAAGAAGGGGGGACAGGACCTTGGCACCGGCCTCACATTTGGCCCTGGGGCCTGGAGGCCGGCTGCATTCCCATCCACTGAAGTAAGCAAATTAGTTCTCTAGCATTCGCCTTTGGGAGAAGAATCTCTACGCTTGCCAGTTTACACGTGGAGACAGAGGCTTAGGGATAGCATTGAGAATGTTCAGCAGAGCCAAAAGAACTTGCAAGGCCTTCTGCTTTGGGCCACACCACTCTGTGTGAAACCAGAGAAGCCTGCTGGCCAGCAATCCCGCTTTGGTGCAAAATGTCTCTCCCTCTGAGGGTGGGCCTGGGTCTGACACCTTGCTGGGCTGCGAGGTCAGCCTCCAGGGTGTGGCCGCTCTGTGCAATTGTAAATGTTCTCTCTGTGTGTGCACACCCATGCAAGAGTACACTCTGGCTCAAAGTGTGCCTTGTCCTAGCTCACCAAGGCTCGCACGGCAGAGTCCCAGGGGTTCTCCAACAAGAGTTTGCTGGAGCCCCCTGAAAAGCAAATATGTGCATTTCCCTGGGAAAGAAGCATGGATAGCATCTAAAATGGCAGATTTCACAAAAACTTTTCCTCCGAACACCTGTGCAGCAAGCAGCACAGAACTGTCCAGAAAAAAAAAAAAAATTAAAAAAAAAAAAAAAAAAGCTCAGAGCTGAGTTTCAGGGGAACAATTTACACAGTGATTTGCATTTTTAAAATGTTCAAGTTACTCGGTACAAATGAGTCTTAACTACAGACTCATTTTCAAATTTTACACTAATCCTGAACTAGTTAAAAAATCATAAAAACCCTTAAAGAAGCAGCCAGTAGACTGCACGGTGACGGCAGGAAATTAGCTGTATTGTTGAGGAACAGATGGTTTACATTAAACAAACCCTTTAGGCTACACTTGTTTAGGTCTGGCATACTGTAAATTATATTTTAGTAATGAAAGTGAAATGACCTCTGCTTGACCCCAAGTGGAGTTTGTCTGTTTGAACCAATGTAGTGGAAAACTATGAAAGAAAATGAAGTCATAAAGTTTTGGCAGTTCAATTTTGGCTCATTTCAAGTTAAGGGGTTATAAATCTGTTTAGTTTTTGTTTGACAAGTATTTGTCATACAGGGATGTACAAAATGTAAAGAAGTGTAAAATACACAGGAGGCATGGTGCCAAAGTAAACCAAGTACAAAGGGAAACTGGAATGAATAGGGTCCCGGGCTCCTATCTCTTTATCACTCCCTCCATTAGTTGAATGACAAGATGGGCTCGGTTTATTATATGCTGTAAGGCAATTAAGTACCTTAAGGCTGAAACAGGCTTTCAGTTTAAATGTTAACATTTTTACTTCTCAAAGTAAACACACATCTGCCTCAGCGCGGTTTTAAAAAATTATATAATTTCTGATGGAGGGAGGTGGGATAAAAGTTGATGGAGAAGTCGGTGCATTATTTGAAGATCTGATCGAGCCTCTTTCCCTTAGGGATTTTCGAAGAGCAATGTTTCAGAATCGACGTGGACTCTTCACGGGAGGAGCGTGAAGGAGGAGCAGTGTCTGTGGGACTCGTGTGGGCTCCGGGACTGTTGTGGTGATGTGAGTCAGACCCCAGGACTGCTGCACTGTCTAAGATGCTGAGGTTGATGAGTCCTAGGTGGGGAGGGCTGGGCCTTTCATTTAGATATGAAAATAACAAAATCACAGGTTGCATTTTTTAAAAACTGGAAGTAAATGGGGAGCTATAGACGGGTAAGGAGGGCAGAGTCAAGTGCTTTGTCTCTTTGCACCTTGGGGAAGTTATACCGCGGGTGATGTGACATTTGAAATGGCTCTTCCTGGTAAAAAGGCTTAACCTACTATCTGTTGCTTGCTTTACAGGTGTGAGTATCATAGGAGATGAGGGAGGACTTTGTGATGCTCTCCAACATTTGTGTGATATTTTTTTCTGCCTCTAACCTGAATGGGGTACCATTGCTCTACTTTTGAGTCTAACTCGAAGTAGACACAAAGATAAAAACTAGAGTTTGTTTGACGGTGGAGAGAATTGGGCCCAGAGCTATTCTCTGGGACAGATGGGTCTCTAACAGAAGATGTACCAAAGGATTTAAGTTTACCTTCTTACGGCCAACCCCAAACCTCCCCCTCTAGGCCCTGAAGTCCCTATCAGTCAAGTTCAGGTCCCAGTGTCCGAGCTGCACTTTTACAAAATGTTTATGCTGATTTTGAAGCAGATTCTAGTTGTCCACAAGGAATTGCTGGAGAAGAGCAGGTTCTATCGTGGTATTGGTCCCCACCCCATCAGGGGAATGATGCGACAGACTCGGCCCTAATGGAAATTAGAGGGAGTACTTTTGGCAGTAAGAGAACACCACCATGTCCTTTTTGCTCTTTGGAAGCACAGTTTCCTCTGAGATCTGTATTCCTTGGAAACTGATTTTCCTTTTGAATCTCAAGTAGTGATCAGCATAGTCTACATCAGCCTGGCCATTGGACCCACCTGGAGGTCTTGTTACAGATTACTAGGTCCCACTCCCCAGAGTTTCCTATTTTTGTAGATCTGAGATTCTCTGAGAGCTCCCAGAAGATAACAATGCTCCTCCCTTTGAGAGGTGTTAGAATAAATGGACACGGCTTTATGGACCAGACAATTTCTCAGTGATCTGGGTCCCGTTCCCTGCATGATAAATGACCACTGTGAATCTGAAGAACCTGGCTGAGTGGTTCTGATTTACACAAGCAGAGAAGATAATACTGTGCTTGGAAGGATGCTCTGCAAATGTCACGTGGAGAAAAGTACAAGAAGCGCAGAGTGGCACTTACTGGATTTATGCTGTGCATGGCTACTGTCTTAGAGACTCAAGGTTTTAAAATGTAACTCTGCAGCTTGAGCCACCTTATCAGTCTCTTTTTTTTTTCACATACAGCTAATCATCTGGCATTTTGTGAAAAAGATTTGTTTTTTATTTATTTGAAAGGCAAAATTACAAAGAGAGAGAGAGAGCTGGAGAGAGAGACAGATCTTCTATCTACTGGTTCACTCCCTTAATGGCTACAATGGCAGGAGTTGGGCCAGGCCAAACCCAGGAGCCAGGAACTCTGGGTCTCCCACATGAGTGGCAGAGACCTAGGCACTTGGGCCGTCTTCCATTGCTTTCCCAGGTGCATTAGCAGGGAGCTGGATCAGAAGCAGAGCAGCCACAACTCAAATTGGCACTGATATGGGATACTGGTGACACAAGGATGCTTGCATATTAGGCAGTAAATACTTTGCACATATGAACCCTGGTCATCCTTACAATAACTCCATGAGATTGTGAACTATTCCTAGTGCCCATTTTACAGATGGGGTGAACCCGAGGAACAGAGTACTTAAGCAGGCCCACAGCTGGTAGGTGGTCAGCTCAGGCTCCAAAGCCTGCCTTGCTAATGACTTAGCTGCTTGGCTAAGAACTTCATGCATCAATTCATCTAATCCTCATCCCAGACTAGGATTTCCCCATTTTACAGATCAAGACCTTCAGGCAACTTGCCTAAAGCAGCTTGACTATCAAGGGGTGACGCCAGACTTCAGATTCAACTACATCTGACACCAAAGTTGGAGCACTTTTCTGGGAAGAGACATCAGAGTTTTCAACAGATCCTCAAAGTGTTCCCCATTTGAAAAGCACAAGGACCACTGGCGTAAAAGTGGACGGCTCAAGGGGCAGGAGTTCTCTGGTGTCTGGTTTTCCCTCTGCAGTATACTCCGCTGCCTCTTCAGTTGTCTGGTTAATGAACAAAACCTATTAACGGCAGCTTTGCCTGAATTGGGCACAAGAGCCCTGGAGAGCATCGGAAAGCAAGCTTTCTTAGTATCTGCACTTGGCTATTGACACGAATCTGCTCAACCCCCAGACCGATTTTCCTTTCTTATGTCCCCCCCCGCCGCCCCCACCCATGGCACTTAGGTAAATAGTGTTAGGACTGTGGAACAATCGACTCCGCTCATAAATGGAAAGGATTACATTTTAAAAGCTGAGAGGGCACAGCCATTTTATTTTGGGAGGTTACGGACATCTTCAAAGACTACAGCAGAATCAAGCGCCCCTGGCTTACACGATGGAATTCTAGAGGGAGTTCCAACCACTGTGTTGCCACATTTGCTCACAGCTCAGCTGCACTTCTCTGCAAGTGATTTAACTTCAGAAGTATTTCCCTTCTCTATAACCTAACTTTCTGATACTTAGTTTGAACGTCTGGTGGTGACCAGGGTGACTGTGTGGTGGTTATAGGTCAGTGGGAGAGGGTCTATCCTGCCAGCTGCTCCATAGAACACATGCCAGTAATTTTAATGTCAGCGTGAGCCACTGTGTTCTCATAATTTGGACTCATATGTTTTAGCCTGAAAATTAAGGCAGGAGAGTGAAATAGGGAACCTGGCCTCTGGACCTGGGCAGACCTGTGTTTCAGTTTTAGACTTTCCATTTGTTAGCCATATGATTTTGGCTACACTCTTAACTTCAAGCCTGTTTTCTTAGCTCCCAAATCAGGCTCAAATTAGGACCTCCTTAGGGGCCAGCATTGGGACTCAATGGTTTAAGTCGCCGCCTGTGATGCCATCATTCGGTTGCAGAGTGCTGGTCCAAGCCCTGGCTGCTCGGCTTCTGATGTAGCTTCTGCTAGTGCACCTGGAAAGGCAGCAGAAGATGGCCCAAGTGCTTGGGTCCCTGCCACCCACAAGGGAGACCCTGGTGGAATTACAGGCCCAGGCCTGGCTGTTGTGGCCATTTGTTGGGGGTTGAGGAGAACTGAACCAGTAGATGGAAGATTCTCCTCTCACTGTCACTATGCTATTTAAATAAATTAAATAAATCCCAAAAAAGAATAATTAGTAGCTACCTCATAGAGTTATTATGAAGATTCTATTGTGGTGATGCGGCATTATCTCACTAATGAAGTATTCTAGCCCATTCATAGTACCCATTTATAATGCATCCATACTAACGCTTCTTGTCCCCAGAGGTAAATTTTCTATAGACATAGATTTCAGCTGAGATTATACCCCAGACAGCCTCTCAGCCATCACTCTCAGACCCTCTCCACCCTCATGGACTTCATCCAGGGTAACAGGGTATGGAGCAGGGAAATTTATGAGATGAGGAATAACGAGGAGATGAGGAATACCAGAGCCATCCGAAGCACTGCCTCCATAATCTGTGTGTCTGTAATCTATTATCTCTACAATCTTTGCGGGGCTGCTTTTGCCACTGTCCTCAACCTAGTTACTGTTACGGGCTGCCGGTTCCCACAGCTGCCTTTCCAAGCAACATTGTCCTGTGCACAGCATTTGGCTTCATGAAAAGATTTGTCATCACTGTAGCAAAAATAATAGTAATTTCTAGCTGTTGAGTGCTACGAGGCTCTACATACATGATTTCAAAGTGTCAGAAATATCCCTGTTAAGTATTACTCTTATTCTTGTTTTACAGGTGAGAAGATAAAGAAACCAGAACTTAATTATGTTATTGTGTAAGATCTCCTGGCCAGGAGACAATGAAGCCAAGATTAGTAATGATACTTCTTAGTCTCTACTCCTATCTCTTGGAAGTAGATGACACTAGCTCCCAGAGATGTGCTATGAGCTGGGAAGGTAAGTTAGGCCCAGACAGGATGGGCTTCTGAGTGACAGAATGGACATATTTCTTCTTAACTTGAGATTGGTCCTTCCAAACTGGAGACTCATTGTACTCAAGTGAGAGCTAAAGAGACAGCAGAGAATGAAATCAGCATAAGAGAAAGAGGAAAAAGTACAGACAAGCATTAAAGCATGCTCCATTTAGGGAATCAGAACTAGTGAGGGTCATTAGTGAGGGGGAGAAAGGAGGAAAGCCACGGGGAGGGGAAAGTATTTCAAGTTGGTGGTTCGGTTCCAGAGGGAGTAAAGAGGATGAAGACCTGGACAAGGTCACCAGACTAAATCACAGCACTGGCCACCCCCAGGAGGGGATGCTCCGAGCCTTGGAAGACAATAGCTTTAAGGAGTAAGTGGAAATCTCACTGAGGATGCTTCAGCGGGAACTGTGGTGACATCCGATAAGAACAGAGGTTTAAAATAGGTGACCAGGGGCAGGAATTTGACTCGATAGTTAAGCTACCACTTGGGACATCTGCATCCCATTTCTGAGTGCTTGGATTTGAGTCTTGGTTCCACTCTCCATTCTAGCTTTCTATGTTTATTTTTTTTTAACACTTTGTTTATTTATCTGAAAGGCAGAGTTACAGAAAGAGAGATAGATAGATAGAGACAGAGACAGAGACAGAGACAGAGAAGGAGATCTATCTGCTGGTCTACTCCCCAAATGACTATGATGACTAGGGCGAGGCCAGGCTGAAGCTAGATCCAGAGCTGCATCCAGGTTTCCCATGTGGGTGCAGGGGCCAAAAGACTTGGGCCATGTCCCGCTGCTTTTCCAGGCACGTTAGCAGGGAGCAGGATTAAAAGCTGAGCAGCTAGGACTCGAAGTAGTGCCCACATGGGATGCTGGTGTCACAAGTGGCAGTTTAACCTGCTGTGCGACAATGCCAGCCCCTCCTACTTTCTACTGAAGTATACCCTGGGAGGCAGAGGTGATGGCTAAAGTAGTTGGGTTCCTGCCACTTATGTGGAAGACCTGGATGGAGTTTGGGACTCCTGGCTTTGACCTGGTCCAGCCTTCTACTGCAGAATGCATCAGCAGATGGGAGATCGCTCTTTCAAGTAAATGTATATGTATATGTATATGTATATGTATATGTATATGTAGCCAGAGCACACACAGAAGGGCCTTCTAGATGGAAGCCCGTTGCTGGTGAAAGGTTCAGGCCCAGAGAACATCATCAAGTTTCAGTACATTCAGCAACTATTTTGGCTGGAAAGGAGAAAAGAGATGAATTGCCTGGAGGTGAAGAAACAGAGAAGCTGGCAATGTAAACTGAGAAATAAAATTTAGCCACTAGCTTCAGAAAGCTAGGCAAAACCTGGTTCCTCCAACTTTGCCCAAAGGCCCCCTCGATCAGCCCGGGGCTGCTAGAGCTGGACCCATGGGGGCCATTCAGGCTTTGACTGCACCTCCTGCCCCTGCCTGCCTCTGTGCTCCCTTGCTCCTCTAACCCCTTAACTTCTCTGCGTGCTGAGCCCCCAGGAGGCCCCAGCTGCACCTGCAGGGCGATCCTCCCCTGCCCCCCACCCCCAAGCATGCCTAACAAATGCTGTTTTTCAGAGTTATGAAGGTTTGAGGAGGCAGAGGCAGGGGAAGGAAGGAGAAGCAAAGGAGAAAAAATCAGACAGAGGGGCCCTGAGAGTTTTAGGCCCCTCTGAGATGGGGCATTTTCTGCACTACTTAGACAAAACACCCAACCCATTCCAACTGTGCACAGCGAAGGGCAAGAGAGAAAAATCCTGCCTCGTTCAGGCCATCTAAATCTTTGGCTGAATGAAATAAAAGAGAAATAACACACGGTCCTTTATGTGGGCGCAGCCTGCTCCTTTCCCTGAACGGCTGAGGAAACGAAAGGACCAAAGCCTGATGGCCGAGGCACAGCCTAAGGAGCCTCCATCGCCCGACCAAGACCACACGGCTCAGCGCTTGGATGCCTCCCTGCTCCCCTGGGCCTCCTCCTTCCCTGCTCGTCGGAAGGAAACTTAGGCCTCATCAAAAGCACCAGCAAGGTCCTGCCTCTCTGGGGACCTGAGCCAGGCCTGGTCCGCCAGTCTGTCTGCGGCCGCCTTTTGTCCTCCCGGAAGGGTATCGGTTTCTAATCTCCCAGAGGAGCCTCTTCTTCTTAATCCAAACACTCAGGGGAATTTTAGCAGCTCAGCCAGTGAAGAGAGATGGAAACAGATAGTTTAAACCCCCGAAGGGCGCATTCATTTGGATAAATAAGAACCCTGGGGTCCCTGCCTTTGAATTGGCCTGGGAGAAATAAGAAACCGTGAGGGCAGACCAGCTGTAGGCTGTGTTCATCTGCGCTTCCCAATATCCTGATTTTGCTTGGGTGCAGCTCATGTGTGTCCCTTCCTTTTAGGATTTTATAGGTGCGTGTAAGATTTATGTGTGAGCCACCTTTCAAAGGAGTTTTAGAGATTGACTGTTTACATTCAGGAATTTTCTTTAAGGTCTACAAAGTCCTTTGTGCTTTTTCCAGGAAAGGCACTCAGTAAGAACCAAAACAAACAACTGAATAACTCGAATTTGATCGGAGCCAAATCTCTTAGGAGAGTAAGAAAAAAAAAAGTTAGCATTTGTTTTCGTTGTTTCTTTTTCTTGCCCCTCCAACCCAGTCAAGTATTCGCACCATTCCTGCTTCCAGTCTGGCTCCAAAGTACCCGTGAGCTTTGTAAGGCTACAGGCTAAGCCTTCTATGCTGGAGAAAGCTTGACACTGGGAGATTTTGCAAGGCACACTTCAGAAATGATCCAGAAACTAGGAAAACAATGTTGACTTCGCCAAGTCTCTGGGAAACCTCAGGCCAGTGTATTTTACGTTTGTTCCTTTGACCAAGGAGGATGGAGCACTGTTAACTGCTTGGGCCAAGCTTCCCATGTCCCTCACAGGGCCAGGGCTGCGTCATTCAGAGCTGTGACTGCTACACAGGCCTCTCAAAGGTTTGTCAGAAGCCAGCGAGATGCCTGTGGTTACTATCATGCACAAACTGATCAAGTGGAATCTTATCTAGTTGTGTGCCTGGCCCAGGGGGTCAACAAGAGCAAGAGCTTAATTTAGACTTGAAACTCCTGTCTTCACATTTTATCTCTTCCAGTGACTAGCCCTTTGATCTTAGGTAAGTTACTTGATCTGTTCTTGAGTTTCAGTTGCCCTGGTTGTACAACAGTGATAATATCCCTGCCTTATATAATTGCCACGAGCAACTGAACGAGATAATGGATCTAAAACTCCTGATATAGTTCTTGACACTATGTATTAGCCAATAAATATTCAATTTCTCTATTTCTGCCCAAAGCTCTCTTAGCTCTCCATTGGATATCATGTGCTGCAAACAAACCCCCACTAAAATGTAATTAAGATGCAGATTAAGGCTAACCTACAAAACTGATCTGTTTTTTGCCTTTCAAAAAGTATTTTTAATTTTCATTTTATATGGAAGGCAGGTACAGAGAAAGAAATGTTCCACCTGCTGGTTCACTCCCTAAGTGCCCACAACAGCCAGGGCTGGGCCAGGCCAAAGCCAGGAAGGTGGAATTCAGTCTGGGTTTCCTATGTGGGTGGCAGGGAACCAAGTACATGAGCCATCACCTGCTGCCTCCCAGGTGCACATTAGCAGGAAACTGGACTCAGAAGCAGAGCTGTGACTAGAACCCAAGTGACCCAAACAGCACCTGAACCACACACCAAAAGCCCAACTCAAAAGCGACACTTTTTCCCAAATGGAAACAAGAATTTCTCAGTTCCTGCCACAGGAATAGGGTGCCTATCATCCAGGGTGGTGGCTGCCCTAGTGTGTGACCTCTGTCTCTACACGGAGCTGGGTCTCCAGGCTTCTGGCATTTCTAAGGCCTCTGCACATTTAATAACAGCAGTGATAGGAAAGAATCTCACGGAATACTGGCTAACTACACTAGAGGCTTGAAGTCATGGGGTACATAAAAAGCATCTGTAAGACCAAATAGGTCTTCACCCAGTGGCAATACGGAAGAAGGAGCAAGTGTTACATTATAGAAAAACCCATAATGTATGCCAATCAGCCAGCTGGAGACTGTCATTCAAAAGACTTGAACTGCAACCTCCACCCATCTTCAGAATCATTATGTGAACTCTACCATCTTCTGGGTCTGTGGGTTTTTTAAATTTGTTTATTTATTTCAAAGGCAGAGTTACAGAGAGAGAGAGAGAGAGAGAGAGAGAGAGAGCTCCCATTCCCTGGTCCACTCCAAAATGGCTGCAATGGCTGGGGCTGGACAAGGCCGAAGCCAGGGGCCTGGAACCCCATCCAGGTCTCCCATGTGGGTGGCAGAGGCCTAAGTTCTTGGGCCATCTTCCCTGGCCTCCCCAGGGACGTTAGCAGGGAGGTAGGTCAGAAGAAATTATCCAGGACTCCAACTTGCACTCATATGGGATGCCCACATCACAGGCAGCAGCTTAACCCACTACATCACAAGGCCAGCCCCTGAGAGGTTTTTGATGGTAAAAATTCATGCTTAAAGAGAACAATGGCTTGCTTCACTATTTGAAAATGAATTTTTAGCATTTTAGGCATCACAAATCCTCACTAACAATATGAATTAAAGTAACTAAAATGTTTGCAAGACTTATTAAAAAATCAAAACAGCAAAGCAAAATAAAATGAGGGCTATGTGTCAGTCTATGTATGCTACTACATTTATTAGGGTAGAGGATTAGTTAATGTAGACGTAAAAACATTTTTCCCCCAAATTTTATTCAAAGTGGTGCATCTCCTTTTTGTGAGGATTAAAAGAATAAGAGATGGCCAGTACCCCATAGAGAAGATAAATATGCGTTCAGTGAATGAATATTCCACTGGAATTGGAACAAGAAAAGACAAGATTCTAGATATAAGAATCCTAAGTTATTTAAACAAAATCTGTTTAAATCTGTTATGCTGAGAGGCCTGGCTGTGGGCTTTCCTGAGAGAAAGCCCTGCAGTGTTTCAGCTCCAAGTGAGGCGCGGGTGCTCTGTGTAGGGTGAGGGCCTGTGACCCTGGGTTCCTTGCTAGGACCTCCAGCAACCCAAATGTTGAAAGATGTGGAGGAAATGCGGGGAGGAAGTGGGTGATTAAGCAGAGGGGAAAGGCTGAAGTTGTTTATCCCGCAAAAAGCACCCACAGGTTGCTGGGCGGACAATGCTTCTCCAAAAATGCTTAAACCGAAGAGAAAGGGGTCTAAGTTAGGCCTTAAAAGGATTTTGTTGTTGTTGTTGTTGTTGTAGAAACAAATAATGTAAAACTGTCTTAATCATGTCTAAGTATGCAGTGGAGCAGTTTTAACTAGATGTACCTTGCTGGGCAATACAAAAGACTGACAGTTAAGTTTGTGAATGAATGTTGGCTCTCCCTTTCTTGCAGTGTGGTTGGAAGAGGATAGAATTTTTTTATTTATTTGAAAGGTAGAGTGAAAGGAGATTTTCCATCCGTGGACTCACTCCCCAGATGACTACAACAACAGGGCAGGGCCAGGCCAAAGCCAAGAGTCATGAACTCCATCTGAGTCTCCCACACAGGTGGCAGGAACCCAGGTACATGGGGGCCATCTTCCATTGCTTTCCCTGGGGGCATTAGCAGGAAGCTGAATTGGAAGTGGAGCAGCCAAGACTCCAACTGGTGCTCAGATATGGATGCCAGTGTTGCAAGCAGTGGTTTAACCCACTGCACTACCACACTGGCCCCTGGAATTTCCTTCTTTGGAGTTTTGAACAATAACCTCACAGTCTGAGTCCTGTGGGTTGGCTGGGATGGTCTCCTACAGATTCCTGTTGGCCCTGCAACTCTAAGGGAAGGCAGTGATGTGGCTGGTCCACCACTGTTGAGCACATACTGAGGGAGGTAAGTTCAAAGCACCTTGGGCAAAGTTGGGCTGAAAATAAACTGCAGCACTTATAAAATTCTGATTCCGTATTATTTCATTTCTAGGCTTGGGAAGGTCATAGTGTTTTGCTTTCACCTGAAGCCCAGGGAATATATGCAGCTCTGTACTGCTAACTTTACCTTGGGTTTATAAGCATTCAGCATTGACATCTCCACATTTTGACCTCTGACGTGTTTTGGTTGCCTTTGGACTGGTGGTGACGATGACTTCTGGTTATTGCGGCAGACACAAATGAAAAAGAAGAGTAAGGCAATGGCCAGGGGGATGGTAACACTTGGCACCAGTATGTACAGGATTTCCATTTTATTCTTCTCTTTGGAGTCCTTTGAATCTGGATGGAGAAACAAGAAAGAGCAAGAGTTCCACTCATTAAAATACCATGTATAATATTACACTGCACAGTTTAAAATGAACTTCTCTTCTTCTATACACAAAAATCCACTGCAAGAAAAAAAAGAATCCAATGCTTATTACAATTTGCTTCTATCAAACTTTCAATGTAATTTATTGAAGTTTAAAAGTTTAAAGTTCAAACGTTTAAAAATTTCAGAGGGACATTATAAAGACTTTGTATGTGTGTGGGTCCTCTCGGCTGTTGCCTTACTCTAGCAGCAGACCTGCATTTCTCCAACACCTTCAAAGTTAAACGCCACGTGAACGGACTGTATATATCCAAGAGCCTTAATGCGGATCCCAGGGCTCTTCTTCCATTGGCTGCCAGCCCAGATCCACCGCTGCAACAGGGTGTTCTAGAAATCATGCTCTTGCCTTGAGTGGTTTGGACTTACAGAGCCAGTCCTACATGTTCCAGAATCAACACTGCTTAGGAATCCTGGTCCTACCATCCAAAGAGTCACTGGCCTGGCCACACAGGGGCTGGAAGTCCGGTCTGACGAGCTGTGTGACCTGAACTAATCACGTGCAGCTGTAGGCTTCACAGTCTCTCATCTACAAGAGTGAAGTGTCTGTTTTGGAATGGCATCTACGATTTCCTCCAGCACAGCAGCACTCTACAGCTTGACACTCTTTTGAAACCCTAGAATTCTTCTTAAATGGTTTCATATGAACCCAATAATTATAAGTGCTAACACTTTGAAGTGTATTTTTGAAATCTTAGACATCCACTTTCCCATTGCTTGGCAAAGAACATAATATACATAGAAGGACAGGAGGTATACTTTTCCTTTTTATTGCTTGGCATCTGACCATTAAAACCAAATACTTAGGGCATATATTATTAATGGATTATTTGACTGGTAAAACAAATAAAAGAGTTACGGGATGTGGGGCCAGTGTTTTCTGTGATGCCAACATTGCATCTGAGCGCCTGTTCAGGTCCTAGTTGCTCCACTTCTGAGCCAGCTCCCTGCTAATGTGCCTGGGAAAGCAGAAGATGGCGGCTCAGGTACTTGTGCCCCTGCCACCCACGTGAGGCACCTGAATGGAGTTCACGTTCCTAACCTTGGCTTGGCCCAGCCATAGCTGTTGTGGCCATTTGAGGAGTGAACCGGTAGATGGGAAGATCTTTCTCTGTCTCTCCCCTTCTCTCTACAACTCTGCCATTCAAATAAATAAATAAATCTTTTTAAAAAATTATGGTTTAGTAATTAGAGGGGTGAAATAATGACTTGCCCTGAAAACCAAAATCAGCTAGTTTTTCTTTTCACTTTTTAAAATTGTTATTCATTTGAAAGGATAGAGAGAGAGAGAGAGAGAGAGAGAGAGCTTTCATGTACTGGTTTACTCCCAAAATGTTCACAATAGTGAAATTTGGTCAGGTCGAAGCCAGGAGCCAGAAACTCCAGCCAGCTCTCCCACACAGATATCAGGGAACCAAATGCTTGAGCCATCATCTCTTGACTCTCAGGCAAATTAGTGGGAAGCTGAATAGCAAGCAGACGTGAGACTTGATCCCAGTAATGTGGTGCCCAAATGTTGACTTAACCTACTGCACAATGCCCATCCCAGCTATCTTTCTCTAAGAAAACTTAGGCTGGGGGGCTGGTGCTGTGGTGTAGTGGGAAAAGCTTACAGCGCAGGGTCAAGTTCCGGCTGCTCCACTTCTGATCCAGCTCTCTGCTATGGCCTGGAAAAGCAGTAGAAGATGGCCCAAGTCCTTGGGTCCTGCACCCATGTGAGAGACCTGGAAAAACCTGCAGGCTCCTGGATTCGGATCGATGCAGCTCCGGCCATTGTGGCCATCTGGGGAGTGAACCAGTGGATGGAAGACCTCTCTTTCTGTCTCTGCCTCTGTGTAACTCTGCCTTTCAAATAAATAAATCTTTAAGAAAAAAGAAAATTCAAGCTGTAAAAATTCAGATTGGCACAATATCCGGAGATGATTATTTACTTTGCCAAAGAATGAATCTTGCATCCATGCAATTATCCTTCTACTCTTTTACTAAGTCAATAAACACGTGTTAAGCACTATTCCAAGTCCTGGGGATGTAAAATCGAATATGATGCATGCTCTGCCTTTTTCTTTTCTTAAAATTTATTTATTTATATGAAAGTCAGAGCTACACAGACAGAGAAGGAGAGGCAGAGAGAGAAAGAGAGAGGTCTTCCATCGGATGGTTCACTCCCTAGTTGGCCACAAAGGCTGGAGCTGGGCCAATCAGAAGCCAGGAGCCAGGAGTTTCTTCCAGGTCTCCCATGTGGCTGCAGGGGCCCAAGGACTTGGGCCATCTTCTACTGCTTTCTCAGGCCACAGCAGAGAGTTGGATTGGAAATGGAGCAGCTGGATCTCGAAGTGGTGCCCATATGGGATGCCGGCACTACAAGCGGTGGCTTTACCTGCTATGCCACAGTGCTGGCCCCTTCTCTGCCCTTAAGAAGCTCATGGTTGGTATGGAAAGAGAAAATATAATTACAGTATGTTACAAATGCTTCAATGGAAGTATGAACTGGATGATGAAAGACCCACAAAGTTCTCTGAAATAGTGAGCTTCCCTTGTACATGTAACCGAGAATATCCTTGAATATCCTTTACATAGTTTTGACTTGTCCACGCCTTCTTTGAGACTTCTGTTCAAGTGAGAAATAGCAGTGACTCAGCACATTTTTCAATCTTACATAAACAGACTCTGCATGAGATGTTGGAAAGGAGCAGTACTGGCTGGGTGTTGGGATTCTGCTCCACGGGTTAGCCCCTCAGGAGAGTTTGGGGAAGAGTTAAACATGGTGATTGAAGATAATAAAAACACTACATTTGATACTTATTGAATGTTTTCTACTGGTCAAAACCACGTAAACTATTACTGTTCCCATGGACCAGGTACTCTTCATGAACTCATTTTAGTCTCCCAACCAATTCTGTGTTATAGGTGACATCATTATCTGTTTTTATGGGTAAGGAAGCAGAAAGAACAGTGAGGTGAGGTAACTGCCTGTGGACATGCAGCTAGTAAGTCAAAAGCTGGGATTTTTCATGCTGCCCATTCTAGCTACTAAACAACACTGCCAGTAATTTGAGACTCGCTGTTTTCTGCATTTGTTTTCTCAAGGTTCCTCTTAACACTGAACAGGCATGCTGCTTATGTATGCAGTACTTTGACAGGTAAATCCATCCTCCAGGCTTTGCTGGAGGGCACTGTGATCACTGGTAGGCAGGCACTTTAGTAGTGACTGTCTGCATAGATGTACACATAGTCAACATGTGCATAGATAGGAAGGAAGGAATCACGGAGTGGTAGCCTGTGTGTGTGAATGCAAATATGCATATTTATCTATAGTTGGCCCTCCAGATCCATGGGTTCTGCACCTGTGGATTCAATCAACCACAGCTAGAAACTATCTGAAAAAAACCTTTACTATTATTTATCTGAGATGAAGGTGGAGAGACAGAGTGAGAGTGCACAAGGGCTTCCTCAATCACTTGTTCACTACCCCGGTGCACACAATGGCAAGGACTGGAGCCAGGAGCCTGGGGCACAATGCAGGTCTCCTATGTGGGTGGCAGGAACACACTTACTTGGGCCATCATCACTGTCTACTGTGGTCTGCCTTGGAAGGAGGCGGGAGTCAGAAGGTGGAGATGGGCCCACTATGCAGAAGAGTGCATTGTAATCAGAAGCCTCTGAATGCTCCCTTTGTCACTCTCCAGGTGACCTTCAGTAGACAACCTTAGAAAGCTCATCTGGAAAAGCGGAATAATACCTACTTCATAGAATCGTTGTAAGAAGTGGAGAGTATCTATTTTAGTTCCTGTTACAATTCACTCACTCAACGTTTACCTTTAGAGTAGAAGAGGATTCAGGGATCAAAGTTTTGGGCTGGAAATTCTAAATGACCTTAAGCAAGAAACAACCTCTCTGATCTCCATTTTCTCATTTATTCAGCTGGGCTAAACCCTGCTCTACCAATCTGATTCAGTTCATATGATAATCAAATAATATTCATGAAAGAACCTTGGAAAATTGAAAATTACCATGCTGTTGTTGGATGCGGGGATTATTATTAACATTATAAAACATTTTCAAGTTTCATAGTACCCTAGGGGGTAAAAATCTGTGTTGTTATTCTTGGATTTTCAGTGAAATCATAATGAGCGTTAATGATCACAAAAGCAATGAGGCTAATTTAGTACTAATGTAACACAAGTCATTTTCCAGTCTAGATTTTAGCAACAAGAGAGAGTAGGGTCTCACCTGTCTGGCACATAAAGGACTCTATTCTGTATTCATTCCCTATCAGGCTGTTCGGGAAGGCCTTTCAAACCCCCTTGTAGGTCTGCAGGAGAACAAACTTCAAGAAGCTAAATCCTTTAAACACAATCAAACTTGGCTCCTTCTGATTACACAGAGGATATGCAAACGAGCACAAGGGGTGCAGTGTCTCCTTGCCAAGTGCAATAATCAAGCAGAACAATATGTGGTCATGTTGGAAGTGACAGAAAACAAATTCAGGCCCATTGTAAGTCTATGATAAAGCAGGCTTCCTTCCCCACACAGCTCTCCATTTAGCAAGCAGGAGATTCAATATCTGGTTAAAAAAACACTTACATAAAAATAGTCCATAGAACAATTAGCGTTGCTAATAACAAATTTAAAACTGGCATCTATCCAGTCTCTTTTAAATGTCCTACATTTTTATTTCTATTTTTAACCTGACACTTTGGTTTATCTTGATTTTACACATTGGGATGTGAAGACTAAGAAAGCACAAATAATTTGCCAAAGCCAGAAAGTAGTAGAGTCTAGGTTGGGACCCAAGCTTGTCCATCTTTAATGTGTCTATCCTTCTACAATTACACTTGTGTTACTAATAAAAATGACCCTAAAATATTACACAGAAGTATTTTTTCAATATTCTCCTTAACAGTCCAAGGTT